AGAAGATATAGTGAGGCCTTTTTAATGAACAAACTTCCTGGCCCCTCTCCTTACTTAGTTAACAAGAGAAGATATAGTGAGGCCTTTTTAATGAACAAGCTTCCTGGCCCCTCTCCTTACTTATTTCAAGTACAAGGAGAAACTGGGTGATTTTTCATGTCAGAAAGTATGAGTACCGTCAGTCGTCTGTACCTACACTGCCTGGTGAAACTTGATTGTATAGCAGGAACTTATAGAATTTGTTCACTAAAATAAACAGGATAGTATTTATTTAATGCATGGATTGATTCTGAGAACCCGTACATCAATGAAAACTGTCTATCAACAACGAATTGTCTGTAGCGATATATTTATATAAATGATCATTCTAATAAAATAAATGTTAAGTAAATTCAATATTTTTACACGTGAAATCTGGATATAGGTATTATATATATATATATGTTTCATTATTAGTAAACACAATGGGCTATCTGTGATGTGCCTTCCTCGGGTATCGAAACCCGATTCTCAGCGTTTTAAGCCCTCAGGTTCACTTATTAATTGGATTATCTCATTAATATTGAAAGCAACATACTAAACTTTTTCACGCTGATTACAGGTTTGCTTCGAGACAAAATTGAAGATAAAGCAAAAAAGGCGTTCCAATCGTACTTGGGAGTGGTCGGGTCACCTCCTGTGGGGTATGAAAACTTCACAGTTAAAGTCAACGAATACATGCAACTTCCTCCATTCAACTATAAAAATCCTGTCGGTATTTTCGGAGGGATGAAAAGGGTATGTATCTGAATCAGTAATAACTATATATATGGGCAATTAATATATTATGGGAACGTTTCAGAGTTAACATTCTTACGAAAATGACATTAGTGACTTATGAAACATATTAACACGGTTGTGTCTTCACATTATCAGTTCTAAATATTAATAAATATGCGCAGTGAATGTGATGTGACTTAATACGCTAATTAAGGGAGATCTTTCTAATGACTAGACATTCTGGAATTGATTTTTAAATATTTATATCAATGAATTATTGTAATTAACAAAGAAGACTATCAATGTAGAATGATCCGTTTTTAATTACAAAATAAAACTTACGAACTCAGGCAATACTGTTCAAATTCATTTAAAATAGGCTTAAGGATAGACTTGCTGATCAAAATAAAACCAAGATAAATAAATAAGTCTAAATCAGCAAACTACTGCTTAGTTCTGAAGTTTTGTCAGCGCAGATAATACTAGTTAAATCATAATCAAAATAGACACGTAATATAAAAATAACGAGTGAATAGATAACAAACAAAACACGTAACATAAAACTAACGAGTGAGTAGATAATAAACAAAACACGTAATATAAAACTAACGAGGGAGTAGATAACAAACAAAACACGTAATATAAAACTAACAAGTGAGTAGAAAACAAACAAAACACGTAACATAAAACTAACGAGTGAGTAGATAACAAACAAAACACGTAACATAAAACTAACGAGGGAGTAGATAACAAACACAATTATTAATATATTAACATATTGTTTTTAGGTCTACATTTCCTGGCACATTCTATTAGTATTATATAATTTGAAAGTTTTTCTTAGTATTTGAGTTTCATCTTTAACAATTTTAAGCCTGTTAAGGTATTACATGTATTTTTTCGGTAGTTGAAGTTCGATAGTATAAGTACTTAACATAACCTTAATAAAGCAATTTTTTTTGGTTTCAATTTAACTAGAAATTTGAGGCCTAACATACATTTTAAGGTAAAAATAAAATCCTCATTTTGGCAGTCGAAACTGCCAACGATTATCGCACAATTTAACAAATTTAAAAAACGTTGTAACGTTCTCCCATATCTATGATGTTCAAAAACGAACATTACGATGATTCGTGTTACAAAAAAAATTAAATGAATAAGATAGAATCGTTACTGAGATCTCTATACACACACACATATATATAAGCCGTGTTAGCTTATTTCTAGGCACCAAAGTTTGACTCCTTCACGAAGCACACACTAGAGAGGGGGAAAGGTTAAGCATCTAAAAATACAACACTCATGGAGTTAGTTTTTTTTTTACCCTCTTTTACGTGTCTTCACATAATTTAGTAATTTGATTTGCTAATTCGATATCCCAAAGGTATAATCTATTGGTATTACAGTGCAACTTATACACACAAACCTACTTCAACTGTATTACAGTGCAACTTATACACACAAACCTACTTCAACTGTATTACAGACCATTTTGCATTGATGTACTAGCTTCTCTCATTCAAAAGCTTAATGCTCTAAAAACAAATAATACTCAGACTTATCCTCTTGTATTTTTAGACTAACTTACAGTCAGAGGTGAAATATTACCTACCTTTCTAGGGGGTTGAACAAAACAATTGTGGGATAACTCACTCACGAAACTGTTTAACTTGTTAAAGGTGTCTCGCATTCAGGAACAGAGTGACTTAATTAGGCGTTGCTGTAGACGTTGACTTAATTAGGCGTGGCTGTAGACGTTGACCTAATTAGGCGTGGCCGTGGAAGTTGACCAAATTAGGCGTGGCTGTAGACGTTGACTTAATTAGGCGTGGCTGTAGACGTTGACTTAATTAGGCGTGGCCGTGGAAGTTGACCAAATTAGGCGTGGCCGTGGACGTTGACCTAATTAGGCGTGGCCGTAGACGTTGATTTACTTAGGCGTGGTCGTGGACGTTGACCTAATTAGGCGTGGCTGTAGATGTTGATCTAATTAGGCGTGGCTGTAGACGATGACCTAATTAGGCGTGGCTGTATACGTTGACCTAATTAGGCGTGACTGTAGACGTTGACCTAATTAGGCGTGGCTGTAGACGTTGAATTAATTAGGCGTGGCTGTAGACGTTGACTTAATTAGGCGTGGCTGTAGACGTTGACTCATTTATTATTGCCGGTCTTCATTGGTCAACATACGATATGCACGTGCGATGAAAAAAATACTAGGTATTTTTCTTTTTCTTATGCACTATTTTTTTCTTTCGTCGATTTGTAATCACATGAATTCCTGGTTCGACCGAGCAGATAATGCGTTAAAGGCCTACTCTATTACCACCTTTATAATTTGATTGCATATCTTTATAATGTTACTAGAACACCGAAGACATTTTCCTTGTGTACTGTTTATTTCAATATGTCAAGTCAGAAAATTTTAAGGCACTGTTTGCCAAAATTATACAGCCTATAACGACCGTATATTAATGTATTATAATTTCAAATTATTTTCTATGGTCCAGCGGCACAGCGGTATATCTGCGGACTTACAACCCTAGAAATCGGGTTTCGATATCCGTTGTGGGCAGAGCACAGATAGCCCATTGTGCAGCTACGTGCTTAACTTCAAACGAGGAGGTCGGGTGCGGCTTAGAATCTAAAAGTCCACGATTCGCGTCCTAATGACGCAAAATGACCATCCACATTTTGTGGCCGTGGGTACTTTAAAATCTCGCTTTTATATTTGATGATGAGTGTTGTTGTCTGGTGTATCATTTCCAAATTAAGAACGGCTAACGAAAGAAACAATACAATATCATCAAAACATTTTTACATAACATTAGTAAGAATTTTTCGTAGCTAGCCGCAAAGAATGACCGCAAATATGAATCTCAGTTTCTCAAATATTTTAGCAACAAGGTATTTGCACTACGAGAGAAACATTTATTTCATTGTTTTTGTTTTTTTTGTTAATTGCAAAGCTACCCAATTGACTGTTTGTTCTGTGTTCAACACGGGGATCGAAACCCGGTTTTTAGTGTTATAAGCCTTCAGACTTATCGCTGAGGCACTTGGGGGAGAGGGAGGTAAAACATCCTCCTTTCATACATTAAAACGGGTAATAGTTTTTTTTAGTTGTTTTTTTTAATTTCGCGTAAAGCTACACGAGGGCTATCTGCGCTAGCCGTACCTAATTGAGCAGTGTAAGACTAGAGGGAAGGCAGCTAGTCATCACCACCCACCGCCAACTCTTGGGCTACTCTTTTACCAATGAATAGTGGGATCGTCACATTATAACACCCCCCACGGCTGAAAGGGCGAGCATATTTGGTGTGCCAGGGATTCGAACCCGCGACTCTCAGAATGCGAGTCGAGCGCCCTAACCACCGGGTAATAAATGATTGTGTCTGGTAATTGTTCAGCAACAATATCTGAAAATGTTCTCTGATACTTCATTCACCCACGAATACATGAAATACATAGGGCAAGAAATAGCTTTCTCGAAACGCTGAAACTGAAATAACAAGTTCCAAGACCTGTTACATACTTAACAAATACAAAAATATTTTACACGCTTACTTGCGAATACGCCAGCTGTTAAACTCTAAATGCAATTACGTTTCCATTCTCGAAGCACCAGCAAATTCTGACTTCTCCAAACGCTTCTCCCTATTCGTCACTGAATCGGGGGAGGGGGAGAGAAGATTAAACTATGTAGTTATAACATGTTGTTATAACACGTGCGTAGCAAGCAGGTGGTGCATGCAATATGGAGCACACTATGTCTTTATTCCTAAGAAATCAGTAGAGTACTAGAATCACATAACGTATTAGTTACAGTTTTTGTTGTTGTTTTTTTTAAATATTCCATATGCAATATATTTTATAAATCGTATATTGTACGTCTTGAATTTTTCCCGAAGTATTTTCCGCGGATAGCAAGTTGTCTTTTTTTTTTTTGGCTATTTTTTAATAGACTTTTATAGAGAAGGTCGAAATATATTTAAACTGAACAACCTCAATACAAAGAATATTTTAGAAGACCTAAGCCTTTAAGAGTTAACCTAAGAAATGCCGTTATCAGATCAATATTTTACAACAATATGAGTAAATGGAAGGGGAATATATTGAGAGACATTTGCCTGTTATGTATATTGTTATCGCTTCCATATGAGCATCTGGATAGTCGAAAAATTACAGTCACGTGTTAGAAGGCACCTGCTCCACATATAAAAACAAGTGGTCTGGTGAAATGCTTCCAAAAAAATTGATCAGTGTTTGAATAGAAATGTGGCTGCTTTATGTGATTGAAAATTAAAATCTAACAATAGAAAGAAGTAGAGTGAAAGATCGATGTTTCAACGTTCTCCAATCCAATCAGAACTAATGCTCTAATCCGCAAAATGAAGATAATGGTTACGAAAAGGAATCCTTCAGTTCCCAAAAAAGTCATTGCGATAAAGTTGGACATATTTCTAAAGTATGACTAAAATAACTAGAATCATAGTGATTTCATTCGACTACACACCTGTCAATTCACCTGATGTAGCCCCAATATGCTTCGTATTTTTGGTCTGTTTAAGCGTGTCCTAGAAGAAAGTTTTAAACATTGAAACAGATGGATTCTAAATATTCCTAATTTCATGGAAACATTACCGCAGTAGAGGAAGAAGATATCCTACAAAATTATTATTTTTATATCTAACTTAATCATCGTTTCCATAAAAGTTAAAATGGCCCTCTACAATGATCCACACACATACACAAAGGAATGAATGGAAACACATACTCACCGATAAATTTCTCAGATCATTTTATATAAGCTTACTTTTTTTGTATTGGTTTGCTTTGGTTGTTGACAAGCAAAACGCTATACAATAGGCTATTCTTGCTCTGCTCACCACGGGTATCGAAACTCGAATTTTAATTTCGTAAACCCGCAGACTTATCGCTGAGCCACTGGGGGGGAGTTTTTGTATTGAAGAAAATGCCACCTATTTGTAACAAACAACTAAATAATACATGTGTATGTTTATCATTCTTAGGTGAAACTGATGATTTATGTTGTAGATTCTATTTGAAAGTAAAAGACAATCGACGAATTCAGAATTCGCCTATTTTAGAATTATTATTCTAATAGGTTCCGGCAGAGGGAGCTTATCTCTATGATGCCGTGTACGTGTATGCTCGAGCACTGAATAGTTGTTTAGCGGATAAACAGAACCCTTTCGATGGAAAGTTGATTTTGGAGTACATGAAACGTAAAACGTATCAAAGTAAGTGTTGTTTTATAGAACTCGGAAATCATAGATGTGAAAAGTGTTCAAACTTTATTCAGATTGAATTTTTCTAATTTATCTCTCTTTTTTTTAACTTTCACTGCTATATTTTATGACATACGCTGAGATACTGTTATATATACGTTTTCATATTTCTTTACATTAATGTTTTAATGTTTACGCTTTAGCTGTTAATATATCATTTTTAACATGTAATATGTTTGTCGTCTTAACAGGACGTAGCCAGGGGGAATGACTCGGCAAGCTTTAATAGAATAGTAATGGCAAGTGGGAGCTTAATCTTATTATAGGGTTTTAATCAAGAAAAGCTAAGCAAATAAACAAATGTTGTCAAGTTATAACATTTCGTTAATTTGAGTGAAATTTTAAACTATTTTGTTGTTGTTTAAGCTCGGACGTGTGATCTTAACAAATTATTGAAATATTTGATATTTTATTTAACACTGCATTTATGTGGACAGGTTTCGTAGTTCGGGTTATAAGTATAGAAACCAAGAAGATGGGTTTTGATCTTCTTGGTTTCTATACGTATAACCCGAACTAAGGTTTCGTAGTTCGGGTTATACGTATAGAAACCAAGAAGATAGGTTTCGTAGTTCGGGTTATACGTATAGAAACCAAGAAGATAGGTTTCGATCTTCTTGGTTTCTATACGTATAACCCGAACTAAGGTTTCGTAGTTCGGGTTATACGTATAGAAACCAAGAATACTTATATTTCCTTATCTCTATCTAAGGACTTACTGTTTGTTTTTCAGCTAAAATTATGGTTTGTGTGTCTGTTCATAAGCACAAACTACATAATGGGCTCCCTATCCTGTGCTTACTTCGCGTATCGAAACCCAATGTTTAGCGTGATAAGCCCTCGAGTCTACCGCTGAACTACCGAGGTGGGAGGGCGAAACTGTGGTCTCTTGTTGTGAAAAAAATTGGGAGATAATTTAACAAGAGATAATAAAGCACCACAAAACTAGTAAAACTCCGAATCATGAAAACGTCGTCAAACTGTATTTCTAGCCAATCATTCTGTCCGAATCATGAAAACGTCATCAAACTGTATTTCTAGCCAATCAGAAAACGTCGTCAAACTGTATTTCTAGCCAATCATTCTGAACGAATTGAGTTGTAGTTGAGAACTTTGCTGGAACAGGAGTGACTTTTGTAACTATGGATCACTTGTGATTAAACATAAATCAATTAAATAGATAGAGTCTAAACATATCTAATAAGTTAACATCATAAATCAATTGCCAAGAAGAGTGAAATCTATAATGCATAGAATTCATCAGTTGATACCTTCGATATTGTCAACAATTTCGGCCGTAATCCCAATAGTATCTCACGAGATTCGGCAGCTTAGGTGATTTAATTTAGTTCTAAAGCCATATACAAAATGATCTATAGAAGTGCAAACATTAATAATAATAACATTCAAAATTATCTTAAGCGTTATAACCAATAATATTGAATGAAACCAGTTTTAAATGAAAATGGAGTGTGTTATTATCAACTACTAATTAGATACAAGTTATTTTTCAAGATTCAAACTTTCGCATTTAAACGAACGTTGTGATGTTATCTGTGGTTGTTTTTCTTTCAATATATTATATTTATTGTATAATTTCTATAAATATATCGAGAAATACATTAATTCTTTACGTTTTTATTAATTTATTCTGACAGTTCTCTCATTTTGAGCTGAGAGATATATAATAGGAACGTATTTCTATCAACCTACCTTGTTTTATATAACGTCTAGCTCTAGTAATTCTTTAAGTATTTATGTAATTAGGACTATGACATTATTTTTATAGTTCTTACAAATAAGGTAATATTGTTAGTTTTTATTTCTCATTCTAAAGTCAAACTCACATCTATAAGATCACTTATTAGTTATACTTCAGAACCTAATTTCGTGTGATCGACTTTAATACTTTGATTGTCCCAGTAACACACACAAATGAGGATGGATAAAGAGCACGAATAAAAAAAATAGGTATTGTGATAAATATATTATTGATTACCGATACAAAAATATTCGCATACTGGCTGAAACCTGTACTTATGTATTTCCTTCATGGCTAAACTAGGTGCAATGGGATACATTGTTTATATGGATGAAAACGGTGACGCTGAAGGTAACTACACTGTGATCGCTAGAAAACCACTGCCTGGAGTTCCAGAGGAGTATGGAATTTTCCGGGTCGGTTTTTTCATGCTTCCGGAAAACAGCAGTGGCATTCCAGTAAGTCGGTTAGTTTTAATTAACTCAAAACTGTTGATAGTAAGTCAATTAGTTTCAACGAACACAAAACTGTTGGTAGTAAGTCAATTAGTTTCAACGAACACAAAACTGTTGGTAGTAAGTCATTTAGTTTCAATGAACTCAAAACTCTTGCTAGTAAGTCATTTAGTTTCAACGAACACAAAACTGTTGGTAGTAAGTTAGTTAGTTTCAATGAACTCAAAACTGTTGATAGTAAGTCAATTAGTTTCAACGAACACAAAACTGTTGGTAGTAAGTCAGTTAGTTTCAATGAACTCAAAACTGTTGATAGTAAGTCATTTAGTTTCAACGAAAACATAACTGTTAATAGTAAGGCAATTAGTTTCAATCAATTCAAATCTGTTAACAGTACATCAGATAGTTTCAATGAACTCAAAACTGTTGATAGTAAGTCAGATTGTTTCAATGAACTCAAAACTCTTGCTAGTAAGTCATTTAGTTTCAATGAACTCAAACCTCTTGCTAGTAAGTCATTTAGTTTCAACGAACTCAAAACTGTTGCTTGTGGGGAAGTTAGTTTTAACGAACACAAAACTGTTGACAGTAAGTCAGTTAGTTTCAAGGAACACAAAACTGTCGCTAGTAAGTTAGTTAGTTTCAATGAACTCAAAACTGTTGACAGCAAGTGAGTTAGTTTAAACGAATACAAAACTGTCGCTAGTAAGTCAGTTAGTTTCAATGAACTCATAACTGTTGGTAGTAAGTCAGCTAGTTTCAATGAACTCAAAGCTGTTGGTAGTAAGTCAATTAGTTTCAACGAAACCAAAACTGTTGGTAGTAAGTCAGCTAGTTTCAATGAACCCAAAGCTGTTGACAGTAAGTCAATTAGTTTTAACGAACACAAAACTGTCGCTAGTAAATCAGTTAGTTTCAATGAACTCAACACTATTGGTAGTAAGTCATTTAGTTTCGACGAACACAAAACTGTTGGTAGTAAGTTAGTTAGTTTCATTGGTGGTAGTGTCCATTGTCACTAATGAGGAGTGGACTTCTCCGAAACTAGTTTTTTTAACAGTTACATATAAGGGAAGCAGCTTTTCATGTCTTAAGCTGACCTTTCATTAATTGTGAATTTACAAAAGTTCCGTCGTCCAGGGAGGGACGGGTACTCCAGCAAGTTAATAAAT